AACCAAATTATACTTGGAAATTGAATAATATACAACTTGAAGTAGTGAACGAATGTGTTTATTTAGGAGTTTTATTAGAAAGAAACGGTAAATCCAAGAATGCTCAAAAAAGAATGTCCGAAAAGGGTCTAAAGGCTTTAAACTGTTTGTTTGTTCAAACCAGTAACTGTTATCTTGCAATTGATGTTATGTGCCATTTATTTGACTCTCTTGTAGCACCGATATTAAACTATGGGTGTGAAATATGGGGGTTCTGATAGAGGTTTTAAAAATTGGGTTTCTAACGTTCGAAGTTGTTTACAAAACTTAGGTCTATCTTATATATGGGAAAGCCAATATAATCTAGAATCATTTAACTTCACAACAATACAGAAAAGAATACGTGATCAATATATTCAAAACTGGTATTCAAAAATTAGTCTCTCAATAAAACTGAAATCATACATTTCTTATTACGAAGGTTATGAACGTGCTGCATATTTAAATGTTATTACAAATAGGAAATTTAGAAATGTTATGTGTAAATTTAGATCGGGAACCATGAAACTAAAAATTGAAGTTGGTCGATTTTTAAAAATCAAAAGAGATGATAGAATCTGCGACTGTTATAATACCAATATGATAGAAAATGAATTTCATTTTTTACTATGCTGTCCAGCTTATAGAGTTATAAGAATAAAGTACCTCCCAAGATATTGTTGGAGTTGGCCTTCAATTTATAAATTTGAAAGTATTATGAAAAACAAATCTGAAACTATTATTATAAATCTGTCAAGATATATTTACTATTCATGGCAAAAACGAAAACAATATTTTGAGAAGTTATAGTCATCTATCAACTGTTCTTGTATATAATTGGTATATATATAGCAATATAATTTAGTATTCGTTGAATCTGTTCTCCATGATAAGCTACACAGTTCTACACATTCTACAAATTTGTTTGTTAATTAATTGTTATAAAACTTATGCTATAGCAAAATGTATTGTACATGTAAATGCTGATTGCAATAAATCAAAATCAAATCAAAAATCTATATTTTATTTAACTTACAGTAAGTTCTTTCAATGTTGAGTATTGTATACAAGGTTGATAAATTGCCAACAGACCTATATTAACTGTACCTCCTTATATTTTGTCAGTGGTTTATTTTTACATGTTTTGGTAACGTAATGGTTAACCATTGAATATAGAAATTTAATTTAATGCACGTATTGTTGAATACAAATTGTGATTGTTTGTGTAAAATTGTATTATTTGACTACTGTACTATTTTTATACCTTCTTTCATTTTAAGAAATGTATTCATGGCAGTGATTGGTTAAAACTTATTGGTGTGTTTGGGCGAGTTGGTATTACTATTTGCAATCGGCGGCTGAAAATGTGCGCCCAAATTGACAGCTCGAATCGGCGGCTACACAAAAGGTCGCCAAATTGACTTCCATAATATTTAAAACTTATTTAAATACAGTCGTGAGAGAACAAGCCCCGTTTCAAGATGGCTGACAAGGAAGTATATTATATGAACGGGACTCGAAATGGAATATATCTGATGGTTTATTCTATATAATAGTTCTGTATACTCACTCAAATTCAGAATCCTCTAATCTCTATTTGATCTTTATTCTAAATACAGTCGCGACAGAACAAGCCCCATTTCAAGATGGCTGACAAGGAAGTATATGATATTTATGGACTCGAAATGGAATATATCTGATGATTTGTGACAAGGAAGGTTTTTTTCGAGAATGCTCAGCTAAAATATCAGAAGACTTTTGGATTCGATCAGCGTAATTACTCATTCAGATTCAACAATTTCAAATAATTTAATTTATATACTTACTAAGAATTAGAAGCCTCAAGTTTCTATTTGATCCTAATAAAGCCGCCGGAGATTTAAAAAACCCTGTTCAAATGACTATTGATAAGAGAATGTTTTGCTATATAAATACAAGTTACTATTGACGGTGGCACAATACACTTAGCATATCAATATACTATGTGCCTTATTTGGTTATCAAAATATGCCTATGCATTATTTAGAGTTCGTGGTTTACTATTTTGGGACATGAATCATCCCGTCTTCTCAGAAGCAGGAATTGTATGACGACTCGCCTTTTTCAAGACCTCAATTGATATGGAGGTGCAACGGTGTACGGTGTTTATTTGCTGGAATGGAATTGATCAGTTGTCAACATATTCTCCGGGGGGTGGGGCAATCACTTTTTGGGGAGGGGCATGTAGGTTTGTTAAAATGTTGACGTCATTTTAACGGAAACAAGCGAACTATTATATTTACCACATGACGATCTGTGTTTAATATACGAGTATTACTAGCAACAGAGATATCTCAAATTAAACCAAACGTGAATATTGACCCCAAATAAAATAAAATAATAGTTCTGTATACTCACTCAAATTCAAAATCCTCTAATCTCTATTTGATACTTATTCTAAATACAGTCGTGACAGAACAAGCTCCATTTCAAGATGGCTGACAAGGAAGTATATTATATTTATGGACTCGAAATGGAATATATCTGATGGTTTATTCTATATAATAGTTCTGTATACTCACTCAAATTCAGAATCGTCTAATCTCTATTTGATCCTTATTCTAAATACAGTCATGACAGAACAAGCCCCGTTTCAAGATGGCTGACAAGGAAGTATTTTATATTTATGGACTCGAAATGGAATATATCTGATGGTTTATTCTATATAATAGTTCTGTATACTCACTCAAATTCAGAATCCTCTAATCTCTATTTGATCTTTATTCTAAATACAGTCGTGACAGAACAAGCTCCGTTTCTTATTCACACGATAGTTAAGGAAGCGATGGCGAAAGTTTCTATGGACGGGGGCATTATAGGCCTGTAATGAATTGTTATGTAAATATGTTTATATGACAGTGTAGATTCTATTGTAATATCGAAACTTGTATATTATGAACGTTGAGAATTGCCAGGTAACTTGCAACCATCTCTCTTATTCAGTCTAACTTAAAATAAAACTCAGGAACACAGTCATTATTTTATTATATTCTTCATACTGGAAACATCATGGTTACACATAAAAACAGAACATCATCTAGTGTTTACTTCTTATCTAGGAAATTATATAGAATCTACATCCATGTTCACCTCTCACCCTCTCGCCCACTCGCCTTCTCACCCTCTCACCTTCTCACCTCTCACCTTCTCGCCCTCTCACCCTCTCGCCCTCTCACCCTCTCACCCACTCACCCTCTCGCCCACTCACCTTCTCACCCTCTCACCTCTCACCCACTCAGCTTCTCACCCTCTCACCTCTATCTCCAAATTAATGAACAATTTTAATGTATAGACTCAATCTATTTAAGATGACACGACCGGAATGACTACATGATAGCATCATCTGACTTATATTTTGAAAGTGTCACAAAGTTCTTAATAACGACGAATCCAACTCTCTCTCCCATTAGCTTGCGGTATACAAATCATTAGACAGTAGACTCCTAACAACAAAAACTGTATACCTATCTTGAAATGATCAATTTGTTTACTTTTCATCAAATAATGATGACTAACACACGAACATAGTTCACGGCCATATAATAAGTCTGAAAACTAGAAAAACGTATAAAATCATATTTTTGAAATTTCTCAGATATAAAAAGGGGTGCAAATAGGGATACACGCTTTTTTCAATGTGCCCCCTGTACCCAACCCTGTTTCTATTGCGATGTTTATAATATATTATCCCTTCCATCAATAATTCAACTCCATTGCCCTAAGCCTTAAGAGAATGCTTAATTTGAATCATTTCTTTATTTTGTAACAAACAAAGACCTATTTAAGATAGTGTTTATTCTGGGACAGATTACCTATTATTATTTTAAGCCCACAGCAAACTCTACACAAATCGAGACGTTTCGTACACATTATTCACTGTATAACTGACCGAGTCGTTTTGTACCATATATCTACAGCTTGTTTACAACACAATAAAATCGAGGGTTTTGTTCTAAATTTCTAACAAATGATATTTAAGAATATATTAGCAGTTTTTTTAGGTTTTTTTGAATATCGACTTAATCAATTTATTTTAATATCGAAAAACTACAGGTGACTTGTCTGTAATAATCCTTTCTTGGTACGAAATGACTCGTTCTATCATTCCCGTACAATTTCTTTGTCTCCAGTCATTTATCGGAACCTACACAAAGAAACAGTCGATATATGCCCAGAAATATTGAAAATCAGATGAAAGAGACAATGAACCGACTCGATTGCAACAGACTTTGATTATATTGAAAAAGATGTAAGCAGAATTGGCTTCGTACGTGACAACAAACATAGTCACACCGCCCTTTGACTTTGTTGAATTCGCCTTCTCCCGGCCCACTACCACGTCTTTGACGGCCTTCTTTTCTAGACCTTTTGTCTATTTGTACCTTGACAATTTACATTCCTTGTAAAATTGCTAAAATGGTGTTTATTTGGTGAATTGTGAAGGGTTAGGCAGACAGCTAAATGAAATAGAGTAGGCCCATACTATATTAATGAATTATGCCATGTTCTCATTTAACTAAACTCTATACTGGATCTACTCATCCTTGGGAGCCATCAACTTCACAATCAGAATCATCTCTTCAAATTTTTTTTTTTATGCTTTTCTTCATAGCAAGAACAATTTCAATAACTTGTACAGTAGTCTATACTCTATATTAACACTTACAGTCAATTTTTACTTTAATAATGATAGTCAATTTTTATTTAATTGCAGAGAAACCTGAAGTATGATAGCTAAACTTAAGTTCTATCGGTTGATACAGGATAAAATTCATATAAACAGCTTGAAAACGGAAAAGAAACAATCTTATTTAACAAGGAAAAGAACTAATGTCCTTGAGGATCCTGTTTTCCAGCTGGACTTGGGTCAAACCTCTTGGCATTGATCTTTTCGTGATTATCCGTACACATTTACAGCTGGTTCGTCTAGATTCCTATTCAATATGAAGGCAACTACACGACACAGAAAACGTTCAAACTGTGATGTTTGTGGGAAATCATTTGCTCAAAGTAATAACCTCAAAATTCATATGTTTACACATACTGGAGAAAAACCTTTTAAATGTAATCACTGTGAAATGGCATTTACCACTAACAGTAAACTTAAAGTACACATAAGAGTACATACTGGAGAGAAACCATATAAATGTGATGTTTGTAGTAAATCGTTTGTGTATATCAGTAGTTATAAAGATCATTCTGTAAAAATTCACGGTATTTATAGGGATAAGCCTGAAAATCTGACAAAGTGTGAAATTTGTAATAATGATGTGTCTGTTAATGATTATCAGCAACATATTATAACTGTTCATACTGTAGAAAAACCCTTTAGTTGTGGTGTTTGTGGTAAATCTTTTACACTCCAGGAATACCTCAGAAAACATGTTGTATTACACACTGCTGATAAACCTTATGCTTGTGGAGTTTGTAGTAAAAAATTTCTGAAATTCGCAGGCCTAAAAAGTCATATGAAAATTCATACTGGAGAGAAACCCTATACGTGTGGTAATTGTAATAAATCTTTTATTCAAGTTGGACAGTTAAAATTTCACATGATGCTTCATTCTGGAGAGAAACCATTTAAATGTGACTTTTGTGATAAGACTTTTACTAGAAAAACTCATGCCATGGCACATCAATCAACACATACTGGTGATAAACCTCATAAATGTGATATCTGTAGTAAATCATTTACTCATATTTGTGAGCTGAAAAACCATCTGCGAGTTCATACTGGAGAGAAGCCATTTACTTGTAACGTTTGTTTCAAAGCTTTTGCATACTCGTCTAGTTTTAAAAGACATTTACAAATTCATTCTATGGACAAACCATTCTGTTGTGGTGTTTGTGGTAGGTCTTTTATTCTCCTGTCTTATTTAACTAGACATATTAAAATACATTTGTGACTGTTGATACTGGATGTTTATGGTGTTTGTAATATCTTGTTTGCTAACTTCATGTTATACCTTAACTGCAATAGCGACCTTTCTTGTATCACATCTTCACAATGTCAAGCTATTATGAACTTCATCTTTGATTTGATTGGATTGTACACCAATGATTACAGCCAATCAGAACTATCAAACAAAAAGACTGTAAGGCTTATGGTTTACAATCTTTCTGTCATTGGCTTATTCTGTGGGATACAATCCAATCAAATCGCTGCATTTACAAACTTCCATGATACAAGAAAAGAGCTCAATTAAGTCAAAGTAATAGCTATCAAGTAGGATATAGGTTTATATCAATTGTAACTCTAGCTTACTATAGACTATAGCTTTATTTATTTTTCTTGCTACAGGGTAAGATGTTGATATAAAACAAATAAAACTGATCAAAATCTGTTTTTATTTTGAAGTTTATTAAATTTAGATTTTGAAAAAAAATTTTTTTTTACATCTGACTTCTACCTTCAACTGGAACAGAATAAACAAAATTTCAGATAAAAAACGAAATGAAATTTTGATTTGACTAAAATCAGAATCGTACAAACAGATGTGCAGATAAAATTGTATGAACAAAATATTAAATAAATGGTGATTGTGATAGGTTACTGCAGATTCATCGTTATTAAGATCTTGAAACTTTGTAACATTTTCAAAATAAAATGATGTAGTCATTCTGTAATGTAATATGATTCTTACCATACAGATCGAGTCTATACATTCTAACAGTCTCCCTAATTTAGAGATAGAGGTGAGAAGGTGAGAGGTGAATACATGTAACACGTGATTGGTCAGTAGAAGAGATATAGATAAAATATCATCAATTAGAAGAGAAAGAATGTAGGCTACTGGAATAAATATAACATGAATGTAGATTCTATATAATTTCCTAGATAAGAAGTAAATACTAGATGATGTTCTGTTTTTATTAGATGTGTAACCATGATGTTTCCAGTATGAAGAATATAATAAAATAATGACTGTGTTCCTGAGTTTTATTTAAAGATAGCCTGAATACGAGAGATGGTTGCAAGATACCTGACAATTCTCAACGTTCATCATAAACAAGTTTCAACATTACAATTAAATACACACCGTCATATATAAACATATTTACATAACAATTTACTATAGGCCTATTAGACCTACCCCCGTCCATAGAAACTTTCGCCATTATGAAAAATACTTCCCTACCAACAACTATCGTGTGTATAAGAAACGGGGCTTGTTCTGTCACGACTGTATTTAGAATAAGGTTTAAATAGAGATTAGAGGATTCTGAATTTGAGCGAGTATTCAGAACTATTATATAGAATAAACCATCAGATATATTCCATTTCGAGTACATAAATCAAATATACTTCCTTGTCAGCCATCTTGAAATGGAGCTTGTTCTGTCATGACTGTATTTAGAATAAGTATCAAATAGAGATTAGAGGATTCTGAATTTGAGTGAGTATACACAACTATTATATAGAATAAACCATCAGATATATTCCATTTCGAGTCAATAAATATAATATACTTCCTTGTCAGCCATCTTAAAACGGGGCTTGTTCTGTCATGACTGTATTTAGAATAAAGATCAAATAGAGATTAGAGGATTCTGAATTTGAGTGAGTATACAGAACTATTATATAGAATAAACCAACAGATATATTCCATTTCGATTCCATACATATAATATACTTCCTTGTAAGCCATCTTGAAACGGGGCTTGTTCTGTCGCGACTGTATTTAGAATAAGTATCAAATAGAGATTAGAGGATTCTGAATTTGAGTGAGTATACAGAACTATTATATAGAATAAACCATCAGATATATTCCATTTCGAGTCCATAAATATGATATACTTCCTTGTCAGCCATCTTGAAACGGGGCTTGTTCTGTCACGACTGTATTTAGAATAAGGATCAAATAGAGATTAGAGGATTCTGAATTTGAGTGAGAATACAGAACTATTATATAGAATAAACCATCAGATCTACTCCATTTCGAGTCCATAAATATAATATACTTCCTTGTCAGCCATCTTGAAACGGGGCTTGTTCTGTCAAGACTGTATTTAGATTATTAGAATAAGGATCAAATAGAGATTAGAGGATTCTGAATTTGAGTGAGTATGCAGAACTATTATTTTATTTTATTTGGGGTCAATATTCACGTTTGGTTTAATTTTAGATTTCTCTGTTGCTAGTAACACTCGTATATTAAAAACAGATCGTCATATTGAAAATAAAATAGAGAGGTTGTTTCCGTTAAAATGACATCAACATTTTAACAAACCTACATGCCCCTCCCAACAAAGTGATTGCCCCACCCCCCCGAGAAAATGTTTACAACTGATCAATTCCATTCAATCAAATAAACACCGTACACCGTTGCACCTCCATATTAATTGAAATCTTGAAAAAGGAGAGTCGCCATACAATTCCTGCTTCTGAGACCACGGGATGATTGATGTCCGAAAATAGTAAATTACGAACTCTAAATAATGCATAGACTTATGTCGATAACCAAATAAGGCACATAGTATATTGATATGCTAAGTCTATTGTCCCACCGTCAATAGAAACGAAAAACATTCCCTTATCAACAGTCATTTGAACAGGGTTTGTTAAATCTCGGGCGGCTTTATTAGGATCAAATAGAAACTTGAGGGTTCTGATTCTTAGTAAGTATACAAATTAAATTATTTGAAATTGTTGAATCTGAATGAGTAATTATGCTGATCGAATCCAAAAGTCTTCTGATATTTTGGCTGGGCATTATCGAAAAAAAAACCGTCCTTGTCATAAATCATCAGATATATTCCATTTCGAGTCCATAGATATAAAATACTTCCTTGTCAGCCATCTTGAAACGGAGCTTGTTCTGTCACGAATGTATTTAGAATAAGGTTTAAATATAGATTAGACGATTCTGAATTTGAGTGAGAATACAGAACTATTATGTAGAATAAACCATCAGATATATTCTATTTCGAGTCCATAAATATAATATACTTCCTTGTCAGCCATCTTGTAATTGATAGACTAGGGCTTGTTCTGTCACGACTGTATTTAGAATAAGGATCAAATAGAGATTAGATGATTCTGAATTTGAGTGAGTATACAGAACTATTATATAGAATAAACCATCAGATATATTTCATTTCGAGTCCATAAATATAAAATACTTCCTTGTCAGCCATCTTGAAACGAGGCTTGTTCTCTCACGACTGTATTTAAATAAGGTTTAATATTATGGAAGTCAATTTGGCGACCTTTTGTGTAGCCGCCGATTCGAGCTGTCAAGTTGGGCGCACATTTTCAGCCGCCGATTCCAATTAGTTATACCAACTCGCCCAAACGCACCAATACGCTTTAACCAATCACTGCCATGAATACATTTCTTAAAATGAAAGAAGATATAAAAATAGTACAGTAGTCAAATAATAGACTTTTACACAAACAATCCCAATTTGTATTCAACAATACGTGTATTAAATTAAATTTCTTAATAGATATTCATCTATATTCAATGGTTAACCATTACGTTAAAAAACATGTAAAAATAAACCACTGACAAAATATAAGGAGGTACAGTTAATATAGGTCTGTTGGCAATTTATCAACCTTATATATAATACTCAACATTGAAAGAACCTACTGTAAGTTAGATAAAATATAGATTAAGAGTAACTATCTTAACAGTGGTATTTCTATGTCACTCTACAATTGCTGTATTGAGCACTATTTTAACAGTGGTATTTCTATATCACTTTACAATTGATGCATTGGGTACTATTTTAACAGTGGTATTTCTATATCACTCTACAATTGATGTATTGGGCACTATTTTAACAGTGGTATTTCTATATGGCTCTACAATTGATGTATTGAGCACTATTTTAACAGTGGTATTTCTATATCACTCTACAATTGATGTATTGAGCCCAATTTTAACAGTGGTTTTTCTATATCACTCTACAATTGATGTATTGAGCACAATGTTAACAGTGGTATTTCCATATTTTTCTACAATTGATGTATTGAGTACTATTTTAATAGGGGTATTTTATGTCACTCTACAATTGCTGTATAGAGCACTATTTCAACAGCTGTACATATTTGTATTATTTAATTCTAAGCATCGCTTTCAGAGAGTCCAAGTGGCTAATATTGTTGATTTGGTATCTCGAGTTGTCAACTCGGCATCGCTTTCAGAGAGTCCACATAGCTAATACGGTTGATTTGGTATCTAGAGCTGTCAACTCGGCATCGCTTTCAGAGAGTCCACATAGCTATTAATGTTTCTATTCACTTCTATTTCGTTTTCAGAATGATATAACAGCAAGTATCACTTCAAGAAGGACATGTAGATATTGTAAAAACATTGTTAGAGAGAGATATAAATAATGTAGCTAAGGTAATGATGTAGCTCTTTATTTTTTAGAGAGAGATGCTGTTACTAAGGTAAAGATGTATGTTTTGGTATTCTATTGATTTTGAGAATCAGGAAAATATTACAAAGTAAAAAATGCGGGAACTCTAAGAAACATCCTGAATTCAGACATTTTCTCGTAAGTACTATATTATATTTCAGAAAGAGAATGCAGCTTTAGATATGGCTTGTTCAGAAGATCATCAAGATGTTGTCAACCCTAACATCCAATGTGAGGTATGTTTTCACTGGAATAACCAGTAATATTGTTTATTTTGGTATTTAGAGTTGTCAACTCGGCATCTTTTTCAGAGAGTCTACATAGCCAATATTGTTTATTTGGTATCTAGACTTGTCGATTCGATTTGATTGAATGTGTATAATCAAATTCTGAATTTTATTTCAAAAGTATTTATCCCATATCAATGTGAATAATTAGAATGTACTCGTTTTTCTCCCTTTGACAATACGTGACATGGATGGTTTGCTATAAAAGTCTGGCTATTAAATTTGGCTAAATTAAATTTTCTTTTAGA